GTATCCAGTCCCTGCCAGTTCAGCCTCATGATAAGCTGGCAAGGACCGGCCTCTCTATGGGGAAGAATAAGTCTTCCCCCATAGATATTGCTTTTAAGGAATGTGCGTTCCCCTTGAACCTGAAGAGTGAGTTTTCCAAGCCCTTTGGCCCAGATTACAGAGCCATATTTTAGGAGGCAGATTGAATCTGCCTTTGGGCTCCACAGGTCAAGATAAAGCCCTGGCACTAGTCCATGGTGGGAACACCGTTCCAGCAGCCCGCGGGTCACTTCGACGCACAGTGATCGCCCATTTTGCTGTGATGCCTTCCCACGTGTTGTGATGGGGAACAGAATGAGAGGCACGACAGTGTTCTGGCAAATCATCCTTTGGGCAGTTGTTCTGCTAATCAATGATTTTATTTCTAAATATGCGCCAGCACACTTGCTCAGCAACTACATGCAGGTTGCGCACACTCAGAAGTGCTTTTGCCAGGGTAGCTGACTGCAGTGTGGTGGATGGTCGTTACCACGGCACGGGGGTGGTGGCGAATGGGTAACGCATCCTCATGTGCTTGAGTCTGCTGTAGCTGTTGTGGTGCGTGTGGTAAATGTGGTGTGCATCTGCCCGAAGGCCAATTCAGATAAGCACCGATGGGTTCTAGTCTCATTACCTCCTGTTTAACACCATTTTTCTGATTTGTGTTGCAGCACTGGTTATGGGGAGTGTTTGCTTGATGAACCTTCATCAAGAACTTACACGTTGCCTCAGCAGCTCCCGGGGCTGATTTATGACGTCAACAAACAATGTGAGTTAATTTTTGGACCTGGATCTCAAGTGTGCCCATATATGGTAAGTGAAGTTCCACACCTTGGTTTTCCTGGTGTTGCCAGAGCAAAATAAAGCCTCCTGGGGTCGGATGAATGGGAGGCTCACAAGCCATCAAATTACTGTCAAGCTTGTGAGTTAATGATAAGTCCTAGGGGGATAATTTCATAAAGGATCAGCTATCCTTTAAGGCATGTGGCGCATATTTGTTTAATATTTTGATCTTTTCAATAACTTAAGCAGATGCAGTGTCGGCGACTTTGGTGTATTAACATCGATGGCGCACACAAGGGATGCCGTACCCAGCACACACCTTGGGCTGACGGGACAGAATGTGAGCCTGGAAAGGTCTGTAATACCTGGTGGTTTGTGCTTTGTAGCTATGTTTCCTAGGGCTCAGGCTAAGCATGTCAGTCAAAATCATCCTGTCCGAATGGCCAGTTGTATGGGGCACAGCTTCTGACTGCAAGGGTGGAAGCCCAAAGCAGCTTGGCGTGTTTTAAGCCTGGTGTGCACGGATCAACACTACCCCAGATAGTGTGATTAAAATTGGCTGCTTGGCATAACACTGTTTAAAGCAGGTATTCCTTCTGGAGTGCGTATCTTTCTAAATTCGTGCCCTTAAGCCAACTCTTGAGCAAAACTTTTGCAAAGCTTCCCTAGTCTTTTGTTAGAAATTTCCTGCGTGATGTGAGCAATTAGTAATTCTGTGTAACATAAACTTGCCAACTGGCTTCTCATCTTGACAACTTCAGAGTAAAATACAGAACTGGTTGACGTTTTCTGTATGGGACATTTCTGGCAGTAATTCATAGAAACTTTCAATTTCCACGTGCAATGTTAGTTTCCAGCTAACACAGTGGTTTCTAGAACAAGTATTTAGTTTTTAGTTGCCCAGATCTGGAGAAAAATAGTTGAGAGGATTTTTCTTTTTCTTTTATTGAGAAAGCTTTTGAAGAAAAATGCTCACTAGTTTTCATCATTTGTGTCTGAACGAAAATATTCTCCATCTGGGTCTAGTAAAAAAGGTGTGATGTTATTCTACAAGGTATAGGTTAAAAATTTGCTTTTCTGGCTATTAATGATCCACAGTTAAAGTTTTCTTCAGAATGAGTCATTTTAATTCATAGTCTTTCAAATGTATTTTAATAAAAATGTCTGGATGCTATTTTGCTTATAATTTTCCATACAAGCTGTGGATCTCTGGTAATTAATCCGTTGTTGCATGTGTCTGAAAAGTCAATTGTTCAGTGACACTTGACTGATTTCCTTCAAGACAATGGCTATAAAGTTTCAGTTTGCCTTCCCTTCTCAGGGAAAAGTGCAGTCAACACGTTTGTTTTTTGTTGTTGAGAGTGTGCATTAGAGATGTGAGTGGTAGTTCTGTTCCTGTGCTACTCCTTGGAGCCAGTGGTGCACCAATATTTAATGTTTCTATGTAAAATCCCCTTGTTTTGAGACTCAGAATGGAGTTTAGGCATCGGTGGAGTCCCTGTGAGACCTTGTGTCTTCAACTTCTCTTTTCCTGAGCTTGGGATCTGCTCACCACTGGAAGCTCAGAAAAAGCTATTTTCTTGAAATTCCAAAAATCCAGGCTGCAGTTTTGTTCTGACAAACCTGGCATTACCCTTGGATGTGACCAGAGCGATGCACAAACAACTGCAATTGAGCAGATTAGCACCCCCTCAGAGTCACCCCATGTCATGCAAGAGGCAGTGTCCAGCTGCATGGCTCTTAATGAAGACCCTGTAAGCAAAAACTTTTCAGTCTTCGAATTTAGGCAATTTGACAAGTTTAGACAAATTAGACAAGTGTGACCTGAACTTCTCAGCTGAGAGTGAATGGGCTCTTAAGAAAAGCTAATGCAGTCCACTCATGTTCCGGCGTTTGAATATATTCTCACAAAAAGGCTTTATGAAGTAATTCTTGTATCTGTGTGTTGGTCTAATTCAAGCTTAAGGTTTGCATCATTATAAGCTCTCTCCTTCTTGGTGTTTACTTGGGCTTGTAAAGTACTAAGATGCAAGTCTGGAGTGCTTTTCATTGGAATAAATCACTATTTTGGTACTTTGCTGTGGCCAAGAGCCCCATCAAACTGCCGCTTGCTGACTAATGCCTTGCCTCAAGTCTGCATGTTTAAAGCCCCGTGATATACGGGTTGGCAGATGGAGAAAATACCGTGCTATTTTTTATGGAGATATCTTTGGAAATGAGGGAGCCTGAATAGCTAAAAAAAAAAATCTAGCTAAAACTACTGGGATGTATATTTAACTAGGCTCTAAATTTATTCTTAAATCAAGGACACTAAAACAACATGGGAGAATTAGCTTATGCATATTTTGCATGTGAGGGCACTGAATTTGATATCGCTAAGTCAAGTAATAAGCCCAGCCCAGAGTTTGGCCTTTGCTGGGTGAGCACCAGTCGTGATGGTTTACAGTGTTTCGCAGCACCAGTGCGTTGTCAGGTGGAAATAAATCAGTGAAAGAAAATAAAGAGGGTCATAAACTCAGGCCTCAGAATTGTTTAAGGAATGGTAAAAGAAGAGTAGACGAATAGTAATCATTTCTGTCTCCTGCCGTATGGCAGCAGGTAGCGTATATGTTATGCATGCATGAAGCTTCACAGCACTTGTCTGCCCCCTGCTAATCTATTCAGCCAAAGTCAGCCCAAGGATGGGAGCTGGATTTGGTGAATTATCTGGGACTCCAGTGGCAAGACAAAGGAAAGGAAAATCTGTTGTAGCGTCTCCCTTTCCTGCCATTGCTCTCCTGCTCAACTGTGTGTCTAAGTTATTTTGAATTTGCTCCGAACAAAAACTCTTTTATTCTCTTCATTCTCTGATCTGTAAGCTCATAGGAAAGAGAACCCTGGCAGGCTTTTTAATTTTTCTGTTGTAACTAAATGTAGAAATTATTTTTAAAATACAAAAGGCACGAAGGTTGCACAGCCAGACTATTCACAGTGTGGTTCCAAGAAACACCATTGCCTTTCCGTAAGATAATCTTGCTGGTTTTTTAAAACCGTTGCTCTGTTTTTTCCCCTCCTTTGCTTTGCCATCAACTCCAACCCCCCAATTTTTAATAAAAGCAAGGGATGTAGGTGATTTCCTGGTTAATTCTCAACCATCAGATGGGAGACATATAGGTCATGTCATGGTCTGTTAGCTGTGTACATTCACTAGTTAGCTATTCAGTCATCTTCTCTGGGTCAGTGGTGCCAAGCATGACTGTGGTTTTATATTTAGCTGTGAGTATCCACATTGCTGCGAGAAGTTCTCCACTGGGACAGCACTGTTGGATTGGTGTCATGTATTTCTGTACATTGATGATAGCTGTCAGACCTCGATGTCCCTGTACAGGACTGGCATAAGGCTCCCCGTGCTGTGGTTTTTCAACCCTCTAAATGCCAGGAGTTGTTGTGCATCGTAAGGGTTTGTCCTGCAGCAAAGCAACAGGCACTTCAGCTTATTTTATGCCTGTTCAGATACTGTAGCAGTTATTTTTCAGCCATTTTCTATCTGAGGAATCAAATCTTCAGATGAAAGCAAATCCAGGGCACATTGCAGCCTAGAGACCGTGCTCATCTCTGAGCAAACACCACATTTAGAGCTCAAGCTACAAGCTGTTTGGCCACCCTGCAGACCATGCCCATAGGCACCCAAATGCATAGGTGCCCAAAATGCATAGGTGCCCAAATGGACCTGAGATCAGCTTTCTTCATCAGCAAAGCAACGTGGCAAGCCAGCCATCGCAGCCAAAAGGTGTTAAATGTGCTGCAGAGCCAGTGTGCTATGAGCTGGATGCACAACTCCCATGATAGCTTGAGTTTGCTCTCTTTTCCTAGGTGGTCTTCTCTAAGGTGGTTCGTAAGGTTGTCTAAAAAACAGGGTGAACTCAGGGTGTGTCTTGACACAACCTTGCTCTGCTGTTAGTGAAAGGGCTGGAAAAATGCAGTACATCAGTAAATTCGTCCCCATTCCCATAAGGATCATCAGGTGTTTCCCTGCCTGAATAGCATCTGGTGCAGAAAAATACTGCAAGGAAATTTTTTAATGATGCACTACATGTTTTCTTCTTTAAGTCTGTAACCTCTTCTAATCTGTAAGCAATCAGCAATGTTTGGGCTTCCTATAATTGCAAAGATTTAGGCATCCGCCAGCAGGTGAGCATGTCTCGGGGTTTAAATCCACTTTAGCAAGCACTGTTCAGAGGCAAGCCCTGCTCTTACAGGTCTTGGGGACACTTCCATCCACTCTGGTGGGGCCAGAAGGTGACTCTCCCCTAGATCTTACCTCTCCAGAAGTCTGTGTAGTCAAAACAGCAAACATACCCCAAAGGGAAACAATTTATACCATAAAAATGAGGGATGGGGAATTGCCAAGGTAATTTTAACCAGTTTTCCAAACGAAAACAAGAGTTATAGCTGGAAAACGAAAGTGTAGGCCAGGCCTTGGCAAGTCTCATGTTATGGCTGAGTGAAAACAAAATACTTCAGATTGAGGAATTCATTTTTCTGTTTTGTTTGCCCTTTGGATTTGGAAGTTTCCTTTCCCTCTTTGTACAGCTGTGGGGAGGTTTGAGTTTTCCCTGGTGTTTTCCCCATTGCCTGTCTCCTCCCCTGACACGGTGTGGTTCCCGCTGCTCTCCAGGAAACCAGATAAGCAGCTTTTTGAAAAGCCAGTGCCACGAGTGTTGTCCATGCTGTTCAGCACTGGTAAACAGAGAGTATTCGGTTGTTGCTGTTGTCCTCTGTCTTCCCATCAATCACTCCTGTGGACTCAGCACCTTGCCTTCACTTCTCCATTTAAGGGTGCAGGGAAAGAAAAATGTGGGAGTGACAGACAAAAAGTGAAGAAGTTCAATTTTATTTGATTGAAAAATCTTTGCTGCATTTTGCTCGTGGTTGCAAAATAAGTAAACCTGAGTCTCGTTGTCGAGGCCGGTCGCTGGTGGTCGGCTCACAATGCAACAGCGATGCAAACCCACCTTTTCCCGTCTCTCTCCTTCGCGCGCAGCACTGCCGGTTTGGGATGTGTGTGCCCAAAGAGCGAGAGGCGCCGGTGATAGACGGAGCGTGGGGGACGTGGAGCCCTTTTGGGACCTGCTCGAGAACCTGCGGCGGTGGCATAAAGACGGCGATACGGGAGTGCAACAGGCCCGAGTAAGTGCATCAAGGGGAAGCGCTGGTGAAATGGGGAAAAGCAGCGGGGTTGCTCAAATGGGCTGAAATCCCCTCTGGCTGTCCCCAGCTCATGTGTGCCCTGAGGACTGGTGGCTTTGCCCTAGGGATGGGTGGCTTCGCCTGGCATGGGTGAGGCAGTGTGGGAACCCAGGAGGAGCTGGTCACAGGTTTGGTTTGTGGGTAAAGTGCACTGCAAAGGGATCCCTTCAATGGAGAGAGAAGGAAAAAGCTAATATCTGTGTGGGTTTATTGCCTCCTGTTTTCTCAGGGAGGCACAGCTGGGATCCCGCTTCCAAAGGTGGTTTTCTTCCTCCAAAGCTGTGGATCAGAGAGGAGGGAGAGGGGAAGGACCTCCATTTTTAATCCATTTTTCACAATTTTACCCCTGCTTTGGCTGCTTTTGCAGCTATTCCTACAGGCCAGACCCTTTATACCATTTCAACCATTTTATTCCTGCTTTGGCTGGTTTCGCAGCTTTTGGCTGGTTTTGCAGCTGATCCTTTATACAGTTATATGTCAGCTGGTGCAGACTAGCCAAACCTCAGCAGAAATCTGTGCCCCATTAAAAAGTAGCACTCAAAAATGTTTGCTGTCAGCCTGGAATGCAAAGTCCTGCACCCTTTGAAATGGCAGGGAATTTTGCCGTGGGCTTCAAGGAGACAAATGTGTCACTGGCAGAATATTAGTAATAGTTTGAGCAACTGGTATGAAAACAGGCTGTTTACATAAATTGTGAACTGTGCTGGTTTCTGTTTAACTGCCTCTGTTCAGCCCACGAGAGGAAGAAGGGGAGTGGGCAGGATGCTTTCCGTGTTCTCATTTGGGGCTGAGACACAGGAAAGAGAGGGGTCTGCAGAGCTGGTTAGGCCAAGGGGCCTTAGAAAGGGTTGAGCAGGCTCATTCTCATCATCGGTGTTGGACAGCTTATTGCCAAGGAAATTGCCATTAGTGATGCACCAGTGACAGTTTCATCACTGCTAATGGGAGAAGGGAGAGCTTGTACCTGCGGCACCGGTGGTGAAGTGACAGGAGAGGCTGGCTCAGCACGGCTGGGCAAGTGTCAAAAGAGAAGAGAAGGGCTGAGGCTAAGGGAGAAGGACACCAGCACGTTAATTAAAATGGTGCTGAGAGACACACAAGCGCAAAGGAGTTCTCATCTCACTGTGCTGAGTCAGCACAAACCGTATGATCTTCTTGTAGCCATGGAGACGCAAAAATAAAATATCTTTCCACACGCGAAAATAGCTGTGCTGCCGAACCTTTGGATGCTCTCTGTGAGATGTGCTGTCATCTTCTGGAGAGGCTTCTGTTTGGACTGATAGCTTTTTGTGATAGAAAATCTCCTTTATCCTAAAGGCTCGCCAAGGGGTTTTAAATTCCGATTTCTCTTAGAGCTTGTGTTTTGTATCTTGGTGTTTTGTGAGGTGTATTGCTTTGGCTGAGATTTGCAAAAGCACCTAAAGACGCTCGGCACCAAGCTGCCTGTGAAATCCCCTGCACTTATCTTTAATAGTGGTTACTTTCCAGGCCCCCTTTCGAGACCGTGTAGCTGGCACTGGCCTCGTCTCCAACCCCTCGCAAAGTCTCTGCGAGGAGTGGTCTGTCCTAGCACCATCCACAGAGCTTTACACCAACTCTGTTGTTTCGTCCCTGTAATTTGACATTGTAGCATGGGCTCCCACCATCTGTGTTCCCGTTATCGTGGGGCTGCTGTGAGGATGCAAGTGGACGAGACACTTCTGGGTACTCTCCTGCTTTTCCAAGTATTTCAGAAATATACAGAGTTTCTCCTCTGTTTTAGAAGGCAGCAAAACCGACCCAGATACCTTGAGTAAGGTCTGAAATAGTTTTCAGTAAGTCTTTTATATTCAAAGATGGTTTAGCTTTTTAAAGGTTTTTCTGTGCACAAGGATCTGGGGTGGGATCTTGCATGCCAGTAGAATGCTGTGTTAAATCTGGCATTGAAAATGTCTCCCGCCTGCCATGGTACAGAAATTAAGGCTGCAGCTCCTGCCTCTGTAATGTGCTCTGACACTTACGTGGACAAGTATCTTGCAGGGCTGTGGGAAGAGCTGTAAGCCTCTGAAGTGGCAGCAGACTGTGTTTTGACATACACTGAAGGAATGCATTAGCTAACCAGACCAGACCCTTCCCACCAAGATTGCCCACATGGGAATTCAAGGCTGGCTGGTACAGACAAAGCCCACGGCTGCAGCGTGTCACGTAGAGCGTTTGTGGTGCAAGCCCTGCTTTTCAAAGCAAGGCATAGCTGCAGAATTATGGGGAAAAGGCATATTTCATAAAATGTCAATACCAGGAGCCCCTGTTTTCAGGAATGTCTTTCTGGGTGGTGGGGGAGTGTTATCTCTGGATGCGAGTTGGATCACATCTGCATTTTAGTCCATCACAAAAGTATCCACCTGTGCTGAAAGCTGTCTGAGCTTGACATGTAAACACAACTATAGATAACTGTGCTGGCCACTGACAGCACACATACCCATTCCCAGTCCCAGGGCTTCCCAGGATGCTGCGAAGGAGATCTCAAACTGATCTGTGCACGCTAGAGCTTTGCAGATTTCCCTGCAGTCACTGCATGAGCACAGGCACGCAGGCAGATGTGCAGATGAACGCACGTGCCCTGCAGTTAATTCTCCAGGGGCTTTTTGTTGTGGCAGCCTGAATGCCCTGAGGCAGAGATGCTGCCCATGGGGCTGAGCGTGTGCAAAGCACCCCCAAAACAGAGCTTCTTGGTGAGGTGCCTGTACCTGGTGCTCCTGGACCGCTGATAGTTGGATGGTGCCTCGAGGTCTGCAAGTGAAGATGTCCAAGGTTAGTAATTGCAGATGATGCATTAAGCATTGCCTATTTAAGACCTGTTGGGGTGGGAGTGGGGATAAGACCTCTCTGTTCCCCAGGCCTATCTGCTGTGTCCTGAGAGTTTCTGGTGTGTTGGAATGCAGCAAAGCCGAGGTGTGCGCAGGAGCTTGTAAGGGGAACGACTCTAGATTGAAAGTTGGCCCGCAGCGGCTGTTAGTCAATCAAACAGATGATTCAGAGAGAAGGGAAATCGAGGCAGAACAAGGAGGTTTCTATGCATGCATCGCTTTCCCTTCTGTCTCTGTGGTACACCGTTGATGATTATCCATAAAATATTATGTTGTGGGAAGTATCCTGTATTTCTTCGTGATGCTGAAAATCAACGTTATATGAAGCTGACTTATTTTTCAGGGTCAGCTGTTTCTGTTTACTCAGAGTCTGTGAAAAGCAATGGTGGTTTAAAAACACCCTAAAACTCTCAGGGTGGTTCGGGGCTGTTTTGAAATGTCAGAAGCATGATTGTGCTTCAGCCCCAAACACTGGCTGTGGGGAGATTTACTGCCACAGTTATGAAGCTGACAGTTTGCAACACAATGGCAAGTTCTAGCATTCTTCAGTTTGTGGTGTGCCCATGTGTTCAATGTTATCTCAATCTCGTGGGTCATGTCTAGAGAAAAAGAAACTATACAGTAGCTTGGGATCTTTGGATTTTGTTAGGCATACCCTTTAAAAAAAAAAACAAACCAAACCTCCTGCATGTTCTTAACTGACTTAATATTTAAAAGTCTTATTTTAATTAAATTGATTTATATTGGAAGCAATGTGATTACCATAAAAATGTTGTAATTGCAGTTTTTTTAAAGAAATGCCCTGTTAGAGGTTTGCATAACTTAGAGCCTTTGTCAAACTGCAACAGTCCTGCTGTGGTATGAATGCTTTCAAAGTGAAAATGATGAATCCTGTTAACTCCCCCATGAATGACTCGGACTCACTGAGTTCTGGGCTGTGCTGCTGCCACAGCCAAGAAGTTTCCCCATGTGCTGTGTAGCAAGATGGTCGAGATGTCCCTTTGTGGCTGGAGGCAGATGATGTGCCTGCATCGGAATAGTCCGTGGGAAGGGCCCCGGCGGTGGGAATCCCCCGGGAATCACCATTGTGCCTGCAAGGCATGAGGAGTCTGGGATGTGTCGCAGGGGGCTGCTGTGCTGGGTTAGTACTGGAGTGGTCCCAACTGTAATCAGTTAAATTAATGCAAGTTGTTTGTCCTACCAAGGTGGAGAATAGAATAAATCGGTAGAAACCAGGTTTAGACTTGCTCTGCTAGGAACTGGTGTAAAATCAGTCTGTAAACAGGAGCCTGCACTGAACACTGTGCGGTGGCTTGGGCTTTTTATCACTCGTATTTGCTTAATTACTAGCACCAGAAACCTTTGCAAGTGACACACGTGTAGTTCCCAGATGGCATGTGAGAGCTGCCCTCAGAGCTGGTAGAGCTGATGTTACCAGCTGTTGCTCTGGGCTGTGCCTAAAGACAAATCATACCCCTGGGCATTTAGGATAGGGCTTGAGGGGTCTGCAGTGCGTGTCTCAGCGAGGAGAGGGATGCTGGCAGGAAGAATACCATGTGTGTAGCTGGTGGTGCTCTGCATCTCGCCCGTGGCTGCTGGAGAAGGCAATTCCTTCTGCCAAACCTGTGAGCATCCCTAGTGTGGTGCTGATGGGTTGGTGGGAAGTCTGCCTGCCCTTCCCCGCTTTGCAGGTAATGTTTTGGCAAGCGCAAGCCCCTCTGTGAGCCTCTATCTCCCCTGTTTCGCAGGAACTCTGCTGCTTGAGTCACAAATAATTTTCGAATGTAAGAGTGAAGAATCGTTATTTGTGGGAGAAAAGGCGCTGCTGGGCTTCCTAGATGGTTGATGTACAGAGATGCCAAAAAAAATGTGTTTAGCTGTAGGAACTTGTTGACTCACTGTCTGTAGAGACCCTTGTACACGTGCAGGGGGTTTCTGTCTCTATTATGTTAGGAGCTTATGGTGGGCATCCCTGTGCGAAGGGCAGGGGTGGTTCCTATTTATCACTCATTCGTTTCTGTTTTGGAGGGTCTCAGATGTGCAAACCAGCTTCCTTACTAAGGAGACACAAAGGGAAGATGTGCTCTGCCAGCATCCCTGGGGCACGGGTGGGCATCTGGTCCTGGGGCGAGGCAGAGCTGATCCTAAAAAAACCCTGAAAGGCAGGAGGTGTGGGTGCTAGGACTTGAGCGCCCAGCGAGTCGCTTTTCTGATCTGCACTTCTTGCTAGCACAGGCACTTGTTCCGTTCAGGCGTTGGGCAGAAGATTAGGTTTAGTGGTCGTTTTGCAGCAGAGGCTGGAACTGGGCGCAGATGTTGTCCTGAGCTTTGAGGGCCACTCTCTGCCTTTGTACACGTGCTCTGGCACAACACGGTCAGGTCATGGTGCCTCTAGCTGCTGAGGATGCTTTTACCCTCCCCTGACTCCTCTGAAATGGTCTGCTAAAGGGAAAGGCTGGGCCTAACCTCAGCTGGTGGAGGCTTTCCCGTGCTGATGCCTGAGATGTATGGTCAACTTCATCTCCCTTGAGTGCTGGTCTTAGTTGGCATAATTTTTCCTTTTTGGATAATTACAGCTTTGTCCAAGTTGACCCTGGCAACATTTCATCCAGATTGCAGTATCTTTCCTTCCGTAACATCAGGGAAAAGCAAAGCTGCTTGGGTGGTACTGCAGTTTTTATTATGAATATTAGTGGTGGTAGCTTGTAGAAGCCTCCACCATGCCCTTCCAATTTCATTTGAAGTTTCGGGAGAGAGCAGCAGAGATGGGGGGTGGGGCAGGGGGGGAGGCAGGTTGAAAAACTTAGGGCACAGTGCATCTTTTTTTTTATTTTATTATTACAATTCATTACATACATAGTAGGCAGCACATAGATGGGCATATGAAATCTTACCCGAGTTCCTAGAAGGATTGTCATTTGAACAGCCAGTAAATAGGATAGCTTGTATCCCAAGGGTATTTCCCTCACAGTGTGATCACAGCTGAAAATGAGTCCTCACCAGAAAAGTGCCTTCTGCTGGGCTCCTCCGATGCCATCCATGTGCAGCTCGCTCCCGCACTGCTGCTGACAGCGGCTGGAGTGGGGAATGCTTTTTTCAGTCCCCAAAGTGAATTGCTGTCTGGCAAAGGCTCTGTCTACATATGAGGACAAAAATAGTTTTATGACTGCAGCCCTGAATCTGGGAGTCAGGAAATTCAAAATGACAATTTCTCCTGGGCTTAGCCGCTGGCTTTTATGTAGCTTGGTCGATATCACTCTCCCCGGTTTATACCATAGTCATCCTACTATAAAATGGGGTAAAGTATTTACTGGTCATCATGGGTGCTTTCTGGAATACATGGGAATAAAGTTGTTTGAAGGTGCCTAGCATTACCATTTCTACCATTTTGGGCTAGAAATCCTGAAGGACTGAGTGCTGCTTGGCCTTTCAGCCTCTGCAGGGAAGCCCCTTCTGCCCTGATGTTCAGTTATTTGCAACCCACTAGATAGGATGTGGAGTCTCAGGAACGAGATCCATAGGACTGATGGGGTTGTGGAGGGATGGTCCCATATGGGATCCCTCAGTGTGAAACTAAACCCTCAGATGGGGAGGAAGCTGTTGCTCTTCCTCTCTGGCTTCTCTCATTACTGCTGCATTCATCAGAGAGCTAATATTCCCTTTTTCATCCCTTTTTAGCATTGCATATGTGGTCTTTTACATTAGGCTCCTTCATAATCTTTCCTGCTCGTCAGCCTGCGATATTAATTAAAGACAGGCATAGATGTAGGCAGAACCATCAAAATGGTGTTGCAAATACCAACTGCTGAACAGGTTGCAGAACTGCAATTGCATCTCGTTTCTAGCGTGATCCCAGCCGGCTTCTCTTCCTTGTTTCTGCAGGCCTAAAAACGGTGGGAAATACTGCGTGGGTCGTCGCATGAAGTTTAAATCCTGCAACACCGAACCGTGCTCGAAGCTGAAGAAGGATTTCCGGGACGAGCAGTGCGCCGACTTTGATGGGAAGCACTTTAACATCAACGGGCTGCCCACGAACGTGCGCTGGGTTCCCAAATACAGCGGCAGTAAGTGGCGGGGGAGGGGAGCGCAGATCCTGCCTCGCTGCGTCGGGGTGGTGGCATTTGGATAACACGCTTCTGGTTTTCCTCCCTCCCATCCCCAGTCCTGATGAAGGATCGGTGCAAGTTGTTCTGCCGAGTGGCAGGAAACACAGCGTATTACCAGCTGCGGGATCGTGTCATTGACGGGACGCCCTGCGGCCCCGACACGAATGACATCTGCGTGCAGGGCCTTTGCCGGGTAAGGATTTTCCCTTCTGGTTAGCGAGGGTGATTGCAGCTTTGCGTGGCAAGGTGGCACTTCTGCCCCTTGTCCCACCGGATGGTTGCCGTGCCCTCTTCGCTCCGGGGCTGCTGGCGGCATCCGCAGGCTCCACGAGCCCCAGCTGGTCTGAAGCTTGTGCCAGCCTCCAGATTTGCAGAAGAGCCGTGTGTGGAGGATGTCTGTACGTCTGCCCTAAGTTACTGAGGGCTGCGGAGTTCTGAGCCTGTATCCAGATGAGGCTTCCTTCTGTACTCTGCCCTGGTTCTTCCTGTTCAGACCCTGGAGCACTTTGTATTTCTATTCACAATTATTGTTCATGCTTTTCTCTATGGGAACAATTGACGCAAGGAGTTTTCTCTAGTGAAGGCATTGCCTGGTGCAAACAGCAGTTCTGATGCTCGCTTTTCGTTTGAAAACGGTGTGGGATGGCCACACTGTAAATCAGCGGAAAAATGCAGGGAAGCAGAACAATTTGTCTCACGGCAGCCTTTTGCATGCACAGCTTTTGTGTGCCTTAATTGGGAGGTTTGTAAATGTTGTTCTAGTCTGTATTTGCTCAATCTAGTTTTTTCAATTTTTCTCTTAAAGCAAGCTGGATGTGACCATGTGCTGAATTCAAAAGCAAGAAGAGATAAGTGTGGTGTTTGTGGTGGGGATAATTCTTCATGCAAAACCGTTGCAGGCACATTTAACACGGTGCATTATGGTAAGAATCTGTTGCTAAAAACTTTATAGTGAAAAATGTGGGTCTATAAAAGCCATTACCACACTTAATCTACAAAAACACTGATGTAAAATGCAAAATCCTTCTAGCTATAGTGTATTCCGTTTTATAACTATTTATGCTATCCCTAAATGAAAAGTATTGGCATGTGTAATGAGGTAATTTTGCTCATTTCCCTCCCCCCTGTAAAAAGCAAATGAAATGTCTGTGTAATAGCCTTGACTTTCTGTTAAATCTTTTCTAGGCTATAACGTTGTGGTCCGCATCCCAGCTGGTGCAACTAATATTGATGTGCGTCAGCACAGTTACTCAGGGAAACCAGAGGATGACAACTACCTGGGTGAGTTGCAGTCCTTGTTTCAGACCAGAAATCTGCTTTATTGTCTCGTTGTGGTGATATATCTACTGCCTGCTCTCTGCTAGAAAGGATGAGGAATTCATTTAAGGGAGGTGTTTTCTTATCGAGAATTTATCTCACACGTCTACCAAACATTCAGTCTTATCTTGTTGCTTCCTTTTGTTCGCGCCATCCCCGATGCAAAGTTTGGTAGGTTCACAGATGATAAGAAATATCCCCTTAGAGTGCCTCTGGGCCTGGGAAGGACTATCGGGTGGGAGCTGAGGCACAAAGCTGGGAACCAACAGGCTTCTGAGTTCTGCTGCAGTCTACTCATCGCAACTTAACACATCTCTGCTGTCGTTGTGCCTTGGCTGGAGAATAAATATGCCATACCGTGAAAGATGTGTGTACAAACAAATCCAAAGAGAAATTATTTGCTATTCCTCTGAGAATAATAATTCTGATTTCACTTAGCCTTTCTTGTCCCTGCCTGACAGTGATATGTAACTGTAAAGAAACACCCTGCACCAAAGACGTTGGTTTGATTTAAACCTGACAATGACTTGGCCTTTGGCTGTTGGACATTCATAGTCACTGTTTTCTCTAATCTGTGAGTATGTCTCTAGAGGCGGATTGAAATGCTCATGATGCTGTGTTAGACCAGTCTGCTGCACGCATATATGCTTTTAGCGTGGCCACGTGTCCCTTTTCCACTATGCTGATCAGTAATTCACCCCATAGAGTTCTGTTTGGGTTCAGTAGCGGAGATAACACAAACGCACGTTACGACTGATGTTACACCTGCCAGTCAAAGGCTGGTTTTGCCATTTAGTCCTGTTTGGATCCCTCAGAGTCTGTTCAGGCCGCTGGGGGAGCAGGGACTCCAGCTGTGGCCCCTTGCAGGGTGTATGGTTGCTCTCCCAGCTCTGTTCCTCCTCTTTTGCACGCCCTGTGCCTGGCTCTGCCAGCTGTGCTCAGGTAGCATGGGGTCCTGTATTTACATCTCTGAGCAGGGCACTTCATCTCATTTCATCTCGCAAAATCCCTGCGTTATTGAGCGGTTTGGCAAAAAGCAGAGCTTAGCCCAAGTGCCCACTGTAACTGGGTATGTTAAAACCGGTGGTTCCTAGCCCATCGAAGGGAAAGGAGCTCACTCGAGAAACAAGTAGAGGAGGCTATCATGCACCGATGGGAAACAGTGCTGACAGCTTTGGCTGTTGCTCTGAAATGCCATCCATGTGGCTGGACCCTTCATTTGGGCAAAAAGCTGAGCGGGTCCCCCCTGTCCTCGTTCCCAGACTGGGGTCACGCAAGGCTGTCTGTCCCTGCACGCCCGTGGCCGCTGGCTTACAGCCGCGTTGCACCCTTTCTGCCCGTTCGCAGCAATCAAAGGAGATGGTGCAGTGTGAATGCACAGCAGTACCAAGAAAACCTTACGGAGGTGTGATAGTTTTCCGTCCTGGGGGATGGAGGTGCGTTTCGTTATTCCTCTTTTCTAGAAAAACAGTCCTCCCTGTGTTGTGCCTATTCAAACTGGGTTCGCCCCAGAAGGAGCCCCAAAGAACTTCTCAGCTCTTCTTGGAGGGCCTTTAATCTTCTTGGGAAGCAATGAAGTCAAATCTTCTTTAATGTGGCTTTAATATTGCTGGGAAAGCATCTCTTCACATTAGGCCTGACTAGGAGCAAATGAGAGGTGTGCATGTGTCCGCTTATTTTGCAGCTCACTGAGTGTGAAATCTTGGGCCCTCAGTACTGTGAACCTTGTAGTTGCTTAACAATTTAGGAAGAATTTGATGTTGTCATCAAGTCCAAGACGTGTACCTACTGCTGTAGGAGATACAGTAAATAAGAAGGAATCCTTTAACGAGTTTTACTATTGCCTAGTGACATTAAAGCCTCCAAAGTGTGGAATTTGCTTGAGTGTAGCGTCTGCTTTGTGAGTTTTCCTCCACCTATGTCTGTTTGCTACTAAGCAGCATTTTGCTTCATTATCTCTCCTCATTCGGTGTAAAAACCTTCCCTTTGGTGTTTTGGTATTAAGTTTAGATTTTTCAGTAGAGAGGCTTTGTAGTAATGTAGCTGTGATGGGTGAAATGGTGGGGAAACTAACTTAGGAAATTAGCTACATAATCGCATTAGTGTGAAGTTGTGCAGCAGACTGCTGTTTTCAGGAAACTGTTCCTTTTATAAAGCATTTAGGCTTTAAACCTTCAGTGCTTTCACATACCTTAAGATTTGGAATAATAAAAAATATGGGGGGAGGAGGGGGAGAGAGAGAGAGGGGGAGATACTGATCAGAGTCCCTGTAACTATCTACTAGAAGATGACATTTGGGCAATTAAGGTACATACATTTACCCTAAGAACACACCTGGAAACAACAGGGAAGCCACTCTGTCCACAAGGCTAACAAAAAGATTTGGGCAGAATTATTTCTGCGGTATACGAGGGGATACAGGTGGTGTGTGCTGTGTACAGCAGCCGGCCTGGCATGCCTTTTGGGTGTCTCTGCCCTGGGTTATGGGTGAGCTGTTTAGCAATGACTTTAGGCACTCAGCCTTCGCTTTAATGAGGCTCTCCAGTGGAAAAAGGAGAAGGCACAATGTCTGTAAGAGCTCTGCTGCTCTCTTTACATGCTTTCTGTTTGAGAGTGCAAGTGGGCTTTTCCTCCCACCCCAATGAAAAGGAGCACTGAGAGCACATGACCCACGTTGTTATGTACATATGAGTTAATTCTGCGTCTTTAGTTCTCGTTTTTTGCACCTATGCAGCCTTATCTAACAGTCAAGGAGACTTTATATTAAATGGAGACTTTGTCGTCAGTATGTTTAAAAGGGAAATCAAAGTTGGGAATGCTGTGATCGAATACAGCGGATCGGATAATACTATTGAAAGGATTAATTCTACAGATCGGATCGAGCAAGAAATAACACTTCAGGTGAAGTATACGTTGTGCGTGTGGAAAAGTCTGCCCAGCATTATTGGACTGGCAACAGTGGGCAGTGAAGTCTGTTGGTTTACTCCGCTTCATCTTTTTTTCCTCTCAGGTTTTATCAGTGGGCAATTTGTACAATCCTGACGTTCGTTACACGTTTAATATCCCCATTGAGGACAAACCTCAGCAGTTTTACTGGAATGCCTATGGCCCATGGCAGCCCTGCAGTAAGCTCTGCCAAGGTGGGTGCTTGGGAAGGCTTAGTTTTGTCCTGGGTTTGTCTGGGATCTGAGCGGTGCTGTTAAATGCCTCTCCGTTTGATTTCTTTGAGATTCTCATGTTATGGGTGTGATTGTTGCCTGGGCTGCAGTAGTAGGTAACATCGTACAAGGTGTAGCACTGGTCTGCTGCTTCTTGGTTTCAGAGCGGGACACCTTTACATCCCCTCTGAGCCAGGTAAGCCTTGCAACCTGGTCTGCAGGTGAGGAAGCTGAAGCACAGAAGGGATCCCATGGCATTTCCTAAGGCTGCAGAAGGCATCGGTGTCTGGTTTTGGGTCTGACATCCAGTCGTTGCCCCCTGCCAGTGCCGATCTTGCAAAACAAGCAGAGCCCATCCTTGCAGGCATGCTGCGGCTCTGCCTGTGTCCATCTCGTCTGTGTTAAACCCTTTCTGCTCTCCTTAGAAAGTCTTAACCCCCCTCCCTGCTTCTGAAAGAGATTTAAAAGCATAATCAATAGTCTCTTAAATGCTACTATAAAAGGAGTAAAAGAAGCAACTGATTTGATCACTTTCCTGTATGACTCAAACAATGTGCCGTTTTTTTCTATGTAGGAGAACGAAAAAGGAAACCCGTGTGTACGAGAGAGTCGGATCAGCTCACAGTGTCAGACCAGCGATGTGATCGGATTCCCCAGCCTGACCCCATCACTGAGCCCTGTAGCACAGAATGTGAATTAAGGTGCACTTTACTCAGCCATGTATATACGTTATATCCTGTATTTATTGTTTACTCCTCTTTCCTTCTACCTCTCACCATAATTCCTTTTCTCACCAGCCTGTATGAGTTTCAAAAAAAGAAAAGGATTAACACTTGCCTCCGTCAACCAAGAGGGGTTACCATCCACCAGCTGCTTTGAGAGGCACTTTTCTACATTTTCACATTTCTCTCGTTGGATTAAATCAGTGCTAACTATAAAAGAAATTCACCTAACGTTGAAAAATCTCCCTGTGCGATACAGTGCCTGAAATTTGCATCTGCCTGGGTCAGAAATGCTCAGCACCATCCTACAAGCAGCCTGCAAAGAGGCAAAAACATATGCTCAAAGCAAAAGAGTAACTAAGACTTGGATTTGTCCTCATTTACTTAAAGCAAAGAACAGGCTTAAGTGTAGAGTGCGTTTGGGGCTGTCCCCAGACAACTCCTGGCGAGCTGGAATTGGTGGAGCATGGCCTAAATCATCACAACCCATTTTCCTTTAAAAAGCAATCTGTTTTCCTTTCTGGAGCTTATACATGGTGGCATTAAACGGCTGCTGGTGAAGCAATTCAGATGGCCGTGTTTCCCAAGGGGTTTCTCTGGCTGTGTTAAACCCCGGGCTGTATAGGGGCTCTATAGGGGCTGTGGGTCGGGTTGTCGCGGTAACAGCTGTTGCCATTGCAACAGGTTGGAAACTTGAGAAGGGCAAATGCAGGAGTTTGAAAAGCAGGCAGGGATGCGAGGGCTCCCTCCATTCAGGAGCTATTGACTCCAAATCCCCTTGATCTCATTCTTCTCCTCGCTGTGCCGAAGTTTGCTCTTTCGGCTTAGGAGGGGGGCTCTGCGCTCCCCGCACAGGCGCTAGCAACAGCCCGGGGGTCCCCAGGACCCGCAGGGGACATCGCTGCCTCCTTCCCCCCCTGCGAGATGTAGGGGGGCAATCAGCTGCTGTTGATTCCAGGGTCTCTGATGTCTCCTCATGTCCAGCATCTCTCACCAGAGCTGGGGCCGGGGCTGGTGAGGTGCAGGGCTGTATCCCCAGGTTGGGTCCTTGAGGTCCACCAGCACCAGCCCCTGCTGCCCATCCCAGGAAGGAGGCAGCAGGGTGGGAATCTGTTGAGAGGGGACAACTCTAATCCCTGCTGACACCTCTGGGGCTTGTGTCTTGAAGCAAGTCGTTTGCTCGCACTTTGGAGAGCTGAAACTGATTTGCAGGCATCCTGCCAGGTGGAGTGCCTTTCAAGCCTGTGCAGAGCATTTTCTGATGCTGTATTTTTTGGCTTTTAGATTTTGTAGGCCAAAGTGGCACTTCTGCAGGGGAACATGGGGTGGAAAGCCTTCAAAGCACTGCCTCTTGCTTGGCCATGGACTTCCCCCGCCGCCTTGCGTGGTCCTGCAGGGACGCAGTGTGGCTTTGCTGCCTGTAAGAGGCACCTGGTGACAGTTCCTTCCCTGCAAGAAGCAATGCTAGGGTTAATCGCCTCAGATTTTGGGAAGGCACAAAGCATTAGGAAGTATTACAAAGAGCCAAAACTTCCAGTTCAAGAGCATATGTTCTTTATTTATGTCAAACACCCTTGAGCACATTACCTGCAGAGTCCCAGAGCCCCACAGCTGATGCTTGCTCTCCTCGGCTCAGGTGGCACATTGCGAGGAAGAGCGAGTGCACGGCCCAGTGCGGGCTGGGGTACCGCACCCTGGAGATCTACTGCTCCAAGTACAACAGGCTGGAGGGGAAGATAGAGAAGGTCGACGACCGCTTCTGCAGCAGCCAGCCCAAGCCGAGCACGAGGGAGAAGTGCACTGGAGACTGTAACGTGGGAGGGTGGCGGTACTCAGCCTGGACCGAGGTAAGGGATGCTCGGTGGTACGGCAAACACTGTCTTCTCCTTGCACAGGGATATGTCAGGCTGTTTAGTTTGCAAACAGCATGTATATAAAAGTTGGCCACAGTGATTCTGCTTCCATTGCTTTTTCTGGAGGACACTGTAGTCCAAATCAACCTGGTACTCCTTATTTTCCACTGCAATTAATTTGTGCTTTTAAGCATCCCAAGGTCTGTCTTCATTACGCTAAGCCCTGCTAGCTGTCTTCTCCCATCAAAGCCAGCACCACCGCCGGGAGTTAGGGAGGACACGTTAACATCAGCAAAGAACTTCTGAAATTTGTTTCCTTTATGCGTTTTAGCCTTTTCATGAACAAGAAAACTCCCAAATGCAGGCCTGGCATCAAGAGAATGACGAGCCTGGGGGTTTCTAGGGAGGGGCGCGGTCAAGAGGGGCTGGCTGGTTAGAGGGAATTAATCTCTCCTAAAATGAGAACGAGCAACAGCCATTTGGGAGACCTGAAAAGCAACACTTGTAAAAGTAATAATGGGGTAATAACCTGAGATAAATTTGTGAAACTTACTGCAGTGAGATTTTTATTAAGCTTAGCAAGATTGGCTTTTTAAAGGAATATATAAAGTAACAGCCTGTTACTTGAAGTACAAATTGTTCTTCCAGAGGTGTTCTGCAGTCTCTTCACAGTCCTGACTGCAAAGAGGGAGAAGGCAATAAATGGTCTCTCGGCCATAATAGAGCAGTAGAAAGTAGTTACCCGGTGTCTCTTCTTCCCAGTGCTCCAAGAGCTGCGGCGGGGGCACGCGGCGGCGGCGAGCCATGTGCGTGAACACCTACAACGACGTCCTGGACGACAGCAAGTGCAGTCAGCAGGAGAAGCTGACGGTGCAGCGATGCAGCGACTTCTTGTGCCCGCAGTGGAAAACTGGCGACTGGTCTGAAGTAGGTGCTGGTCGCCAGGGTGGACTCACCCTGCTGGTCCTCCACCCTGAGGGGCTGGTGCCTGCAAAGAGATATCTCTGTCCCTGCTTAGCCCTCGAGTCCTGGAGTGTGGTGGGACCGTCCCTCCTGCAGAAGGTCTCCCCGACCCTGTGCACAGGCAGGCCTGAGACAGGCAGCGAAGTCACTGGCCTTGTCACCGCTGGTCAAGTGGCTGTGTCCCTCCCTGCAAAGCCGCAGGGCGTTAATTCCTCTCCAATAGGTTTTCCACAGTTTCTCTGCGCTTTTGGGAAGAAAAATGCCTTCCGCCCTTATTTTCCCTTGAGATTGTCCTCACAAGCCTTGGCAGCTCTGGCTGTCACTGGAGGGCAGGATTTCACCCTACTAATGTATTGCTCGGCCCTCTCCCTGCCGTTTGTTGCCATTACCTCTTCCACTGCTGCTGATGTCCTTTGCAATGCAACAAGACCATATCTTGATAGCCTATTCCCTGCAGCAGGACCAGGGATGCTGGAGAACAGTCTTCAAAGGCTGCTTGTCACCTTTGTGGAGTGCAAATAGCTCTCGTTTCTGTGAATCACGTTCTTTTAGGAAGTGGTGAAAGCAATTAGGTGGGAACAGGAGTTGTTCTCTGCAGATGACCTGTCTTCTGGGTTGAGCTGCTGGCAGCCCAAGCCATGCCAGGTCAGTGGAAGAGGCACTCACAGCCTGTGGAAGCTGAGACCCTTGTTGCACACGCTCAGAGCTGAGTTTTTTACAAGCTTTTGGCACCCCACTGTGCACAGCTGAAGCCCAGTTGGGCAGTGCTGTGGCTTCCCCCTACGTCTCACACCTGCTGGAAGTCAAGAGCCTTCATGGTCTCACTTTGACCCACGCTGAAGGGTCCCAGCCTGGCGGTGTTCTCCATGCTCCAGCCTCTGCTCTGAACCAGCTCCTGAGAGCAATCCCATCTTGTTGCAATACACTCGCCTGTTTTCCAGCACATGTAGTCATCAGCTAAAGTGATGCCTCTCAGCACCAGTTTTTAAGCAGTGGTTGCAGTGGGTCTCCAGGTTTATTTTTCAGCGCCGCGGCAGGTGCTGAGCTGGCAGCGCATCGGCACCGCCTGAGCTTGCGCTTTCCTCCTCGCAGTGCTTGGTCACCTGTGGAAAAGGGCACAAACACCGCCAGACCTGGTGCCAGTTTGGAGAAGATCGATTAAACGACAGGTTTTGCGATCCCGAAACGAAGCCGGAGTCGGTGCAGACGTGCCAGCAGCAAGAGTGTGCTTCGTGGCAAGTGGGGCCGTGGGGCCAGGTACCACAGAGCCGCCGCGGGGCTCCCGGCGGGTGGGACCTGGGTGCTGGTGGCCGAGGCTGAGCGCTGCCCTTTCATCCCAGTTCAGCGGCATAACTGTGTTAATTGATTTGCACACCAAAGCAGCCCTCTGTTCGCTTGGGTTCAGCGGATGGGCAGCAATAACAGTACCTGCCCTTTGTGCTAAATTTAATCTGTGTCATACTAAATTGGCTGTGATTTTCAAAAAAAGGGTTTCCAAGGTTACGCTCCTAAATCCATATTTAGGCACATAAATACGTGGCCTAATTTTCACAGAAAAGCTCCTCCCATTGAATAGCTTTTGTTGTTTTTAATGTTTTTCAGTTTCTGGGTTGGTGAGAGATTTTTTTCTGTTAAGAGCTGCTTGTTTCTCCCAGAGTGTTCTGGCATCTCCTTTTCCACAAAGCTGTTAGCTCTTGACTTAAAAAAAACAGCAACAAACCCAGACCAGTTGTCCCAATCAGACTTATTTCCCATCAGCAAAATTATTCACCAACCACTTGTGCTACTGTGGGGCTGAACAACCAGTTTTAAAGAAGGATATGGTGCAGGTTGTACCAGACTATGATTTACTGTGTGCAGCAAAGTAAATCATTTAAATGCTCGCACCTTCATTCCTAAGGAAGCAAGTGAAGCGTGCGAGGCTCTGGTGGGCGCAGTGAGTTAAAACTTTGACCTAATTTAAAGCTGAAATGCGTGAAGTGGAGAGAAACCAGAAGGGAAGCTGAGTTTTATTTTTGCTGCTCATGCTATGTGCCCAAACACGGACTGGGCTGATTAATACTTTCTAACCGAAACAGCTACTCAGAGCCAGCGCTTCTTTCTCTCCCCTCTGTCCTCTCCCAGTGCACGACAACCTGTGGCCAAGGCTACCAGATGAGAGCGGTGAAGTGTGTCGTGGGCACCTATGTGTCGGTGGTGGATGATAATGAGTGTAATGCTGCAACCAGGCCAACAGATACCCAGGTAAATCCTGCTGACCTGTCTCCATCTTTTGCCAGCGTGCGTATAGAGGCATCCAGGCTGCAGCTTCGAGGGATGTCTTGCTGCAGCAAATGCTTGCCCTGAATGCCAGCCCATGCAGAGCAGTATCTTGCTCTGCTATATGGCTCTTGGAAAGGTGCAGCACAGGACCCTGTTTTGGTAGAAGTGGGACAGAGAAGCTGTATTCAGGGAGTTCCCATCCAGACCCTCTCCTGTGGTTAACCTTACATTCTGAAGCACCAGATTGACAAAAAGGCAGCGGACAGCTTGTTATGAGGGCTTCAAAGACTTCGTGGGGTAAAGATTACCTTTGCTTATAGTTTGTATCCATGGAGCCCTAGTCATAGGATGGGATGTGTTGAGGGGCTGTCCGGATTCAGAGCCAAAGCTGGTCTCTTAAGAGCTCATGAGCTAAAGAAGAGGCAGTAGATGAATATGGGAAGACAACCAGAGACCAGAAGGGTATTTACTAGCCTCAGAGGCTGGGGTCTCGACACAGCAAACACCTCCTTTGGCTTGCACGGCGTCTGGGATGCCTGGCTGCAGTCTGGGCTCACTTGGCTGCAGGACTGTTGCTGTGTGGTACCAATGACAGCTAGGGGCCATCGTTTCTTGTCTGCTGCACGTGACAATGTAGTGTATGTGCCAGCTGCAATTGCAGACACATCCTCTCCTGGCCACATAAATGAAGAAATGTTGCACACCCTTTGCAAATTTGCTAAAGAGGCTTTTCATGCTGTGTTCACTGGTACTTGGAAGCAAACCTGTAAATTCCCATTTCAAGCACAGGATGTGTCGAGGGTGTCTGAAGGAGTTGAATAAAACAGAACATTACCATCTATCTGTCATCTGGAAGAGTTGTAGTGCTGGTGCCCTGCCCAGCTTCAGTCCTGCATGACTTCACAGGGTTTAACTAAGGCCACAACATTTAGGAAAAGGATGTTTTTCCCATGTATGGAGACCAGTCGCACTGTAGTCAAGGAGTAACAAACCCACTTGTCATCAGCCATCATTTGGCACGCACATCTCCAGCGTAAGCAAAATCATAGCAATGCGGAAGTCATTTATGCCATTTGTCAAGGGCTGCTCTCTCCCTCCCAGGGATGATCAGTATTAATTTCCTTTTTGGCAATGACTACTCGCAGGCTCATGGAGTAAAGTTATGGCTATTCATCATTTCTGTCACCTGATTTCCCAGGAGGTCCAGACGGGACCAGAGCCCTCCTGTTAGGCACCGTACCAAGGCCGAGCGGAATGGCATGCCTGTCCCCGAAACCTCCCACGCTTACGTTGCGGTGAAGATCAGCACAGGGATATAGGTGGGCTGGTGGGCTGCAGGGGATCAAAGGGCTGCAATCAGCCGAGCAACGTAACCTTTATTAAGCGGGCTGCAGGTCTCACATTGAAGGAAGGAAGCTTTGAGGGCAGAGAAGGTTGCTGCTTTGCAGATGTGTGTTCGTACTGGAACTCTTTTAGTGAACTTTCATCTTTTGCCTCAAAAACATCTGGTTTTAATGCATGGAGATGGCACATGGTTATGAGGATTGCTATTGTAGAGTTCCTAATAAGTCAAAAGTCCACTGAGGGTTCTGCATATGAAACCCTCGTGGTACTGATGCCAAGTTTTGCTGATTCACCAAGAGGACACAAGCATGCAGGTCACAGCTTCTCAAGACGTTGTGTGTTGTTGATAATTGCATTGGAGAGGAGGTGGTTTAACTGAAACATCTGCAAATTCTTTGTTTCCCTCTTTTCCCTCATGTATTTCGTGTACAGGACTGTGAAATAGCAGCGTGTCCTCCCCATCCAAATAGTCCCGAAGCCAAGAGATCCATATCAGGCATTCACAGGACACAGTGGAGATTTGGATCCTGGACACCAGTAAGCACGTGTTGTAATACTTTCAGGATTATTTTACAGTAGACAATGTGATATTTTTGAGTGCATTTGACCAACTTTTCGTTCCAAAGCCCTTGTAATATATATCAGGAAATTTTCTAGCGGAGTGCTTGCTGCTCTTCCCTAGTGCTCCGCAACATGTGGGAAGGGTACCCGGATGAGATACGTCAGCTGTCGGGATGACCAGGGCTCGGTGGCCGACGAGTCAGCTTGTTTCCACCTCCCGAAGCCGTCAGCCACGGAGATGTGCACCGTGACACCATGTGGGCAATGGAAGGCCTTGGAGTGGAGCTCCGTAAGCATCACGCTGTCTCTTGCAGGAAAGCCTTATAGACCCCGTTGCTGGAAATGTGTTTCATTAATCTGTCACGCTTGCCCTTTTATAAGCGGGGAGATTCAGATTTTCTGCTGTTCGTTACTAGTAATAGCTGTCTGTCTGATTGTCAAAGCTGGAAATGTGACTGTGTCTCCTTCTCCCACTGTAACGCAGTGCTCGGTAACTTGTGGTCAAGGTAAGGCAACGCGACAAGTGATCTGCGTCAATTACAGTGACCAGCTGGTGGATAGGAGTGAGTGCGATCCAGATGACCTCCCTGCCACCGAGCAAGACTGCTCCATGTCTCCTTGTCATCCAAACAGCCATGACTACGGCAGGCCCATCCACCCTTTCCTCTATCCGGATCATCGCCTGAAACTGCACCCCGGAGGCAGCCCGAATCGAAACCGTGCGCATATACCGGGAGGCAATCAGTGGAGGATTGGCCCCTGGGGTGCTGTAAGTGCCCTGATTTTCTTATTGCTCAATTTGTTTTGGGTTTTTGCTTTTTTTTTTTTTTTTTTTTTTTTTCCTGGGCCAATCCAGGCTTTTCTTACAGTGACTGGTCAGGGAAAAGAGGGACCCTTCTACCTGCTTTCTGCTCACATAAGCAAGCGTTGCAGTAGGGCACCGGCATCACTTCTCAGCCTCTCACACCTTGTATCTCCAAGGCTCTCTGGGCAGAAAGCTGACAGCATCATTTTCCATGAGGCAAAGGCCAACCTCTGCTTCTTGGCTGTCTCCCGGGACGTTTACAGCTGTGCAGAGCTGTTGCCAAAGCACAGCAGAGCCTTAATGCCAGCTCCTCTCACCCCAACCAGTTTGCAATGCTTTATCACGGAAGTCCCTAAAGGGAATTAAGCACAAATCGGATGTCAAACACTGCATTAAAGGCAGTGGGGATTACTCACCTGCTTAAAACTAGGCTCATGTTTATTTTCTTTGCTTAGTCAGCGCCTAAGTCATTGCACTGCTATTGGTAATAGCTGGGTTTTGAAGTTAATAATGCCTGTTAGCCGTATTAAATTTCTAGCGGTGCATTCCCACGGTGCAAGGCACTGGGAAGGAGCTGGGAATGCAGAATTATTCCTGGACTCAACGCAGCCATGGGCAATTGTGTCTTCCAGTGCTCTAGCACGTGTGCGGGGGGGTTCCAGCGGCGGGTTGTGGTGTGCCAGGATGAAAATGGATACACCGCAAATAACTGCGATGAGAAAAGCAAACCCATGGAGCAGAGATCGTGCGAATCTGGCCCCTGTCCTCAGTGGGCTTATGGCAACTGGGGAGAGGTGAGTGCGCCATTCATCCTGGGCTCCCTGCGCAGGGGAAGGCTTTCATTAGCGGGTGGCTGAAAAATGGGAGAAGAGGGGGATATTGCAGTGACATTTATTGGAGAGATTGGAGCATGAAAGGCAGCCTCTGATAAATGAGTGAACCCTAGCAGCTGCTTGGTGGCATTTTCTTTTCCATTTGTCATGGGAAAATTTCCTACCCAGGCAAAAGCAAATTCTACAAAAATTAAGATTTAAATTTGTTTTTCTTTTGAAGAGAAGTCTAGTTTAACTGAAGGCCTTTTTTCTTTAATAAAAACACTGCTTCCTTCTGAACATTCATCCGAGACAAACAATTAGAGACATTAACCTGCAGTATCACGTTGGGTCTGGCAGTGTCATTGTGGAGCGGCATGAACGGCTTTGGGAGGAGAGAAGCAGGAGCAGCTGATGCCCCACCTGAGGCTCGTGGAGCATTTGGGGGGGGGTTGGCCAGAGTGGGTTGGTTGGGATCAGAAACAACCGTCGCATCTCAAGAGGTGCTAGTGCTTCGAGCGACCGTTCGGCAGTATTTTTGCTGCCCAGACGGTGATTGCTCTGTCCTCTGCTGACTTCCAGTGCACGAAGCCATGCGGGGCAGGGACAAGAACACGGCTGGTGGTGTGCCAGCGCCCTAATGGAGAAAGGTTTACGGATCTGAGCTGTGAAATCCTTGACAAGCCACCGGACAGAGAGCAGTGCAATGTGCAGGACTGTCCTAGAGATGCTGCCTGGAACGCTGGTCCTTGGAGCTCGGTACGACCATAAACTCTTTCTCTTTGTGAACCGTTTTGTGGATATCCCGTAACAACAGATTTAATTTGCTTCAAACCAAGGTGCTAATGCTTCGTGTCTTAAAACTGCACTTAAAGAGGATTATTGACAGTATATTCAGAATAACACCTGTTCAGGAAGGGCTTACATTAGGGGAGCTGGAGTCCTTTAATTTAAAAGGCACTTTCTGCTAAGTAGCCACCTTTGTCCATTTCATTACACCGTGCGAGCGCTGTGCATTACGAGTCTTTCTGACTGAGTTCTTTGCATATGGATTTAAACCTAGCATTTAAGCAGTACATTTCCATTGAATTTAAATTGTCCTGATATTTGATGGTAATACTGCACTGTGCACCTACTGGTTTACCAGTCACGTATTCGCTGCCAAAAGCAAGATGATGGGGGAAAATGTGTACTAAATTGCATCAAGCACGTACAAGTGTGTATAGACGTGTGTGCGTGTGCCTACCCGCCCCCACACACAGCTGTATAGAAACGTGTGCATTCACACCCATTCTCTGTTTCTGTTCCTGTGTATATACAATAGAACGTGATGTGCTGTGCAAAGGCACCTGTAAGCTGTTCTCATGCATCGCTCTGGTTCTGGAGAGTTGCTGTCTGGCCTGATCTCCATCTGCTGCTCTAGATACCATTAAGTCGGGAAGGGATCAGCAAGGTGATGGGAGGCTTAAAACCCTAATAACAAAATAGCGTTTGGAGCAGAGTTGTCTTACGCTGTTCCTTTGCCGCTGGAGGAGTCTACTACAGAGATGCTCCTGTGAGGGCAGAGCAGCCCTGAACCGCAGGGCTGGGATGCTGTTTTGGGTCCCACGGCTTTGAAATTCTCTCTGCCCAGAGCAGCACCTTCTGCTTGGCTCAGAGCCCCCGTGTACCAAGGCGAGTGCTGCCTGGGGTGCTTCTGGTGTGCTGAAAACCACCAACCTGCCAGTTTTGGTGTGGCCTTCAAACAAATATCGACCTTTAGTGTGTATTTTGTTATAAAAGCATTTAAAGAAGATTTTTTAAAAAAAAAATAATCTGACTCAAAAGCACTTTATAGGAAAAGAAAACAAGAGGCCTGTTTGTAATGTATTAGACTTCCTTAATTGTCACGGTTTGAAAAGTTGTCTTGCTAAAACCTAACAGCACTCTCGTCTCTGTGGGTGCTTTCAGTAATGCGGATGCCTTCAGTAACGCTCCTTCATATTTTTATCATACCTCAGTGAGTTATGCAATAGCCATAAAACTGCTGAACTGGTGTTTATATGGTGCTTCACCAGTACAAGGGACAGTGATATGAAATATTTCATTTGAGGTGCTAATGTATCACTTGTATGCTGATATAGTTGGTGCTAAAAATGAGTGAGGTGAGCTATGCAGAGCTAGCCACGCGTGCGGTGGCTTCCCCGCAGAATTACCGCCTGGGAGTTGCTGCCAACCTTTGTTACCTGTACTGGACCATTTGCAAGAACAAAAGGTGTGGACAGAGTTGTGTACATCAGAGTTGTGTTGTGTTTTGGTGTCACTCGGCGTTCAGCCTCTTCACAGCTGTGCAGGAGCAGGCTCCAGGGCTGCATCTGCTCCCCTGTGTTGGAAATGCAGGGCGCAGTCCTGTGTTTTGGTGTTGGGTTGGGTTTTTTACACCCAGGAAAATTTCCCTTGACTCTACTAAGTTATATTAACTTTGGGTTGTCCTTGCTTGGTCTCCTGGGGGTGGGTGGGATGTCGGGCAAACTGGCAGAGGGCAGGGCCATCCTACTCTGCCTGAAACATCTCCTCCCTGCTGCCCACGGGGCTCGCAGCCCCCTGCCCTCCCGCAGGTGAAGGGGCTGCAGAGCTGAGCCCCAGTCAGTGCCACGAAGTGACTTGATTTTTCAGTCGTATTACCGGGGTCCTTTGGCTCTGACGCGGGGGACCCCAGGGCTGTTTGAAGACTGAATTGTGTCTATGGGGGCAACAGGGCTTCATGTCCCTCCTGCAAAATACTCCACATGTATGTCTACCTCGTGCTACTACTGTAGGTAGTAACGTCCAATTTTTTTGTTCTTTAGTGTGGTATCACCTGGATTTGCTTTAGCTCTGTTATCGGTTGCAAACATCATTCTGTAGCTGTACATACTTCATCTGTTGGGATGGAGTGTCACTACCATATTTTTTGGTCACTTTTGAAACAAGAGTATAGTATTAGCTGAAACTTTTCAGCAGTGTGGATTTATGTATTTATGTAAAAGTGTATTTATTTTTCCAATATTGTTATTTAATTTTATATAAATATTGCATACATTTACGATGTTTAATGTTAATGTTGAACAGTGAAAATTAAAGACAAGTAGAATGTAATCATAAATGAATTTGTATAATGATTTCTTGAGTCTTTTGCTAAATTAAGATCATATACATAGTTTTGGTAACTTTTACTAAATTTTCTGAAATGATACTGCAATGTTCCATCTTTCGACTTGCTTTTCTTTTACTTGCTTTTGTTCTCCAGAAGAAACTGTCATTCTCAATAATTAAACAAACACAGTTAAAAGTATGGATTATGAAGTTTGGATAACTAATTTCTTGCAAGCATCTGATTGGCTCAACTTCATTCGAGTTTCAGGGAAGTTAGTACTATAAAATATACACAAATTAAAGCAGAGAGAGTCTGAAGAGTCCGGCCTGCAGTCCTCAGGCCAAATTCCAATGGGATTTTATACAGTAAACAAGTGATTTTATCTGTCTGGTTAAATCCAGATTTTAAAGAGATAGTTAAATGAATAAACAGATTCTGTGTGTAAATGGTAATTTTATAATAGGAGACTGGTGAGATGCGTTGTCGTTATAAGGTATGTTCAAAGAGGACTAAGAGGAGGTGACACTTTTATTTCCTTGCTTATTTAAGAACGTGTATTTAAACACTGCAGAATTGTACACCCTGTGATAGACCTGACCTTTTTATTAAAATAATGCTTTAGAAAACATGCAGAGACTGTCACCAGGATACAGAGGGTAGTTTTTCTCCTCTAAATGCCTTGTGGTATGAATGCAGATCTCCATGCACACTCTCAAATACCAAGAGGAAATCTCACCATGTTCTCCAGAATGAGGGAGATGTTCACAGAGAGTATTATCCATCACTTCACTTAAAACCTGAGGCTGAACTCATTCCCTTGGAGCAGATCTGCTCCTTGCAATAATCTCTGTGAAATTTTGGGGTTACCCTAATATCCAACTGTATTGTGATACAGTTTCTGAATAATGCTGCATTAACTTGTCATGGGTTTCTCATTCTTTCCAAGTTAGGAAAAGGGCACGGATCAGGTAAAACAATTATATCCCACAGCACCCTGTCCTGGTTCAGTCGAGTGCGTCATTTGGGCTTCACTGCACTGGGACAGTAATCATTTGACTTTTTTTTTTTTCTTTCCTGAAAAGTATTATGAATTTAAAAGTAGTCTGCTTTGTCAAGTACTTGTTGCTCCTGGGTATCAAAACTTCTAGCTGCTAATGCAATGGTTGTGTAGCTCTTAGTGTCTGCAAAATGGTGGTGTTTGCTTCCCAGCTCTTGATCAAAAAGGCAGAAATGCTGGTATCTTAGTCTTTGAGGACCTTTTGATCTAACAATGAAGAGTTGGAAGCTTAGCGTGAAATAATTATAATATTAGCTGGCTGAGCTCCAAACTCTGTTATTGTCAGTGTGAATTGAGGTTTGGGTTGGGACAGCATTGCTGTATCCCCTTAGCTGGAAGCAAGTGGCATTGATGGCTTTGCAGGGCTCTTCAGCTGCATGCAGGGGCGTAGGTGGTGGCAAAGGGGCTCTGGACTTGGAGGGATGCAGGAGGACTGCCTGGCCAACATCTGCGTCAGGGAGCTGGCGCTCAGGAATTTGAATCTTAAAATTGGTGTCAGTGGAAAGTTCAGGTTATTTGTATTTAATTCTGTCAAAGCCCCAACACGTTTACAAAATGCCTTCCCCATGAAGCTGGCTGAAAATAGGCTGTTCAACAGCAATGTTCTCCATGTCGTTGTTCTGATAATATTCTTAGCAGGCAGGATGTCAGCTCCTGCTAAGGCAGAAGTGATAACCAGGGGCAGATCTGGTTGCAAGTGTATATAACTCTGCTGTTCCCTTCCTCTCTTCTGCAGAAAATGAATTTGCTGTGACAGCAGCATTACTGAGCTGCTGTGTGATTCTTTACACACGTCTTGCAATAACAAAGCCATCCTTGAAAATGAAGTGATAGGCACAGTGAACTCTCTGGTCACTCGGTGATTCATGTTGCTTTTCCTGGCCTTCATTCATATGATGGTGGTTTGGGCTCAGAGACTGCGACAGCAAGTCTGTATTTCTCTGTAATGCCAGGTATTATCAGAAAAATAATGACATCAATCCTACCCCAAGAGCATGTGGGAGAAGGACAAATGTTGCTGCAGCAGAGGAAGGCTGCACGTATGGTCCCAGCACCCATAACCCAGGCAGAGGGACGCGCTGGGTGGCTCTCCTGCCTTTAGGAAAACGAGCAGAAATAGATGTCTTAGTGAAGATCGAATAAAGCTGATCCAGACCAAAATGAGAACTTGGTAGCCTATGGATATCTCCAGCCATCTGTCTGAAGCTGTCTCCATCTCGGAGCTGTTTACTGTATGCTTAGGCTGGCCCACCAAGGCTGCTGTCCCTCTGGGTTTCCTGGCTGTCTCCCCTGTAGGATCAGGCAGACTGACTGACTCCAGGGACCGCCGGTTTGGTGTGCTGATGAAAGGCAATAAGTTGTCTGCTTTGGTTCCCCGGTCAGAGAAAGGCCTTTGACAGTGCAGACCTCTCTGCTTTTGTTTAAAAAAGCAAACCAGACCCGTTTCAGCCCTCCCCTGTACTCCCTGCTGTGTGTCACCCATCCAGAGCATCCCACCGCCAGTGCCCAGCTTCAGCCACCCTCCAAAACTGCACAACTGGGGTGTGACAGCTGGGGTGGGCAGAGCCATGCCAGCTCTTACCATCC